GATATATTTAGAACCCTGCGTCCCAAAGCAACAGAATACACTATCTTCTCGAGTGCACATGGAACATTCTCCAAGATAGATCACATACTGGGTCACAAAACAGCCCTTCATAAGTATACAAGAATTGAGATCATACCATGCATACTTTCAGACCACAATGCTATGAAGCTTGAAATCAACCACAGAAAAAAGTCTGGAAAACCTCCAAAAGCATGGAGGTTAAAGAACACCCTACTAAAGAATGAATGGGTCAACCAGGCAATTAGAGAAGAAATTAAAAAAATATATGGAAATAAACGAAAATGAAAATACAACAATCCAAACGCTTTGGGACGCAGCAAAGGCAGTTCTGACAGGAAAATACATTACAATCCAGGCCTATCTCAAGAAACAAGAAAAATCCCAAATACAACATCTAACAGAACACCTAAAGGAAATAGAAGCAGAACAGCAAAGGCAGCCTAAACCCAGCAGAAGAAGAGAAATAAGAGTAGAGCAGAAATAAACAATATAGAATCTAAAAAAAACTGTAGAGCAGATCAATGAAACCAAGAGTTGGTTTTTTGAAAAAATAAACAAAATTGATAAACCTCTAGCCAGGCTTCTCAAAAAGAAAAGGAAGATGGCCCAAATAGATAAAATCATGAATGAGAATGGAATTATTACAACCAATCCCTCAGAAATACAAGCAATTATCAGGGAATACTATGAAAAACTATATGCCAACAAACTGGACAACCTGGAAGAAATGGACAAATTCCTAAACACCCACACACTTCCAAAACTCGAACTGGAGGAAATAGAAAGCTTCAACAGACCCATAATCAGCAAAGAAATTGAATCAGTTATCAAAAATCTCCCAACAAATAAGAGTCCTGGGCCAGATGGCTTCCCTGGGGAATTCTACCAGACATTTAAAGCAGAGATAATACCTATCCTTCTCAAGCTGCTCCAAAAAATAGAAAGGGAAGGAAAACTTCCAGACTCATTCTATGAAGCCAGTATTACTTTGATTCCTAAATCAGACAGAGACCCAGTAAAAAAAGAGAACTACAGGCCAATATCCCTGATGAATATGGATGCAAAAATTCTCAATAAGATACTAGCAAATCGAATTCAACGGCATATAAAAAGAATTATTCACCATGATCAAGTGGGGTTTATTCCTGGGATGCAGGGCTGGTTCAACATTCACACATCAATCAATGTGATACATCACATTAATAAAAGAAAAGATAAGAACCATATGATCCTGTCAATCGATGCAGAAAAAGCATTTGACAAAATTCAGCATCCTTTCTTAATAAAAACGCTCGAGAAAGTCAGGATAGAAGGAACATACTTAAAGATCATAAAAGCCATTTATGAAAAGCCCACAGCTAACATCATCCTCAATGGGGAAAAACTGAGAGCTTTTTCCCTGAGATCAGGAACATGACAGGGATGTCCACTCTCACCGCTGTTGTTTAACATAGTGTTGGAAGTGCTAGCATCAGCAATCAGACAACAAAAGGAAATCAAAGGCATCAAAATTGGCAGAGATGAAGTTAAGCTTTCACTTTTTGCAGGTGACATGATATTATACATGGAAAATCCAATAGACTCCACCAAAAGTCTGCTAGAACTGATCCATGAATTCAGCAAAGTCGCAGGATACAAAATCAATGTACAGAAATCAGTTGCATTCTTATACGCTAATAATGAAGCAATAGAAAGACAAAGAAACTGATCCCATTCACATTTGCACCAAGAAGCATAAAATACCTAGGAATAAATCTAACCTAAGATGTAAAAGATCTGTATGCTGAAAACTATAGAAAGCTTATGAAGGAAATTGAAGATATAAAGAAATGGAAAAACATTCCATGCTCATGGATTGGAAGAATAAATATTGTCAAAATGTCAATACTACCCAAAGCTATCTACACATTCAATGCAATCCCAATCAAAATTGCACCAGCATTCTTCTCAAAGCTAGAACAAGCAATCCTAAAATTCATATGGAACCACAAAAGGCCCCGAATAGCCAAAGTAATTTTGAAGAAGAAGACCAAAGCAGGAGGCATCACAATCCCAGACTTTAGCCTCTACTACAAAGCTGTCATCATCAAGACAGCATGGTATTGGCACAAAAACAGACACATAGACCAATGGAATAGAATAGAAACCCCAGAACTAGACCCACAAACATATGGCCAACTAATCTTTGACAAAGCAGGAAAGAATATCCAATGGAAAAAAGACAGTCTCTTTAACAAATGGTGCTGGGAGAACTGGACAGCAACATGCAGAAGGTTGAACCTAGACCACTTTCTCACACCATTCACAAAAATAAACTCAAAATGGATAAAGGACCTGAATGTGAGACAGGAAACCATCAAAACCCTAGAGGAGAAAGCAGGAAAAGACCTCTCTGACCTCAGCTGTAGCAATTTCTTACTCAACACATCCCCGAAGGCAAGGGAATTAAAAGCAAAAATGAACTACTGGGACCTTATGAAGATAAAAGGCTTCTGCACAGCAAAGGAAACAATCAACAAAACTAAAAGGCAACCAACGGAATGGGAAAAGATATTTGCAAATGACATATCAGACAAAGGGCTAGTATCCAAAATCTATAAAGAGCTCACCAAACTCCACACCCAAAAAACAAATAATCCAGTGAAGAAATGGGCAGAAAACATGAATAGACACTTCTCTAAAGAAGACATCCGGATGGCCAACAGGCACATGAAAAGATGCTCAACGTCGCTCCTCATCAGGGAAATACAAATCAAAACCACACTCAGATACCACGTCACGCCAGTCAGAGTGGCCAAAATGAACAAATCAGGAGACTATAGATGCTGGAGAGGATGTGGAGAAATGGGAAACCTCTTGCACTGTTGGTGGGAATGCAAACTGGTACAGCTGCTCTGGAAAACAGTGTGGAGGTTCCTCAAAAAATTAAAAATAGACCTGCTCTGTGACCCAGAAGTAGCACTGCTGGGAATTTACCCAAGGGATACAGGAGTGCTGATGCATAGGGGCACTTGGACCCCAATGTTTATAGCAGCACTCTCAACAATAGCCAAATTATGGAAAGAGCCTAAATGTCCATCAACTGATGAATGGATAAAGAAATTGTGGTTTATATACACAATGGAGTACTATGTGGCAATGAGAAAGAACGAAATATGGCCCTTTGTAGCAACGTGGATGGAACTGGAGAGTGTGATGCTAAGTGAAATAAGCCATACAGAGAAAGACAGATACCATGTTTTCACCCTTATGTGGATCCTGAGAAACTTAACAGAAACCCATGGGGGAGGGGAAGGAAAAAAAAGAGGTTAGAGTGGGAGAGAGCCAAAGCATAAGAGACTCTTAAAAACTGAGAACAAACTGAGGGTTGATGGGGGGTGGGAGGGAGGGGAGGGTGGGTGATGGGTATTGAGGAGGGCACCTTTTGGGATAAGTACTGGGTGTTGTATGAAAACCAATTTAACAACAAATTTCATATATTTTTTAAAAAGCTGTCATTCCAATTTCATTTAACATTGTACACACACACACACAAAATACAATGAAAAGGATCAGCGAATGATACAGAATAGTGAAAGCCTAAGTGAGAATAGTTCATATTTCCTTAACCACATAGCTAAGAATTTTATTACATCTTCATACAAAGAGGCTAACCTCAAAATCACACTGTACTCTTAAAGCCAAATAATAAAAGCACAAATAATCCAATTTAGAAATGGATAATGGGGGCACCTTGTGGCTTAGTCGGTTGAGCGTCTGACTTCAGCTCAGGTCATGATCTTGCAGTTTGTGAGTTCGAGCCTCACATTTGAGCCTGGAACCTGCTTCACATTCTGTGTCTCCCTCTCTCTCTCTCTGCCCCTCCCCCACTCACACTCTGTCTCTCTCAAAAATAAAATAAACATTTAAAAAATCATAAAAATGGAAAATTATTTCAATAGATATCTCTCCAAGATTATATACATATGGCCAATAAGCCCATAAGAAGATGCTCAGCATCTTTAGTTTTTAGGAAATTGCAACTCAGAAGCCAATTAAATACTTATCCACTAGGATGGCTATAATTAAAAAGACAGACAATAACAAGTGTAGGCAAGAATGTGGAGAAAATGGAACCCTCAAACATTGCTGGTGGGATTGTGAAATAATACAGCTACTTTGGAAAACAGTTTGGCAGTTCTTTTAAAAGTGAAACAGAGGTCCATATGGCCTAGCAAATTTGCTAGATATTTATTCAAGAGAACTGAAAAACATATGTCCGTATAAAAACTTCTATACAAATGTTTATAGCAGCATTATTCATCACAGCCAAAGGTAAAAACAGCCCAAATATCCATTAACTGATGAATTGATAAACAAAATGTATATCCATGCAATGGAATATTACTCATTAAAAAAGTGAAGTGCCAATGCTTGCTAGATGGATGAAAAAGGATGTATTTTGAAAATATTAATGCTAAGTGAAAGAAGTCAGACACAAAAGGTCATATGTGTATGATTTCATCAATAGGAAATATCCAGAATAGAAAAATCTATAGAGACAGAAATTGGATTAATAGTTTCCAAGCACTGGGAGGAGGAGTCAAGAGTGACTACCAATGGGTAAGAGTTTCTTCCTTCTGGAGAGATGTAAATGTCCTTTTTATTGCATAAACACCTTCTATCCCCCTGCAAAACCCAGAAAAGCAAAGACAGTAGTTACCAATTACCTTGCCACTCGAAGATACACTGTTAAGACTTTTATTTTACATTCTTCCAATTTTTTAAAGTCCTTTTCACTTTATGAAAATAGGGTTTTTTTTTAATGTTTATTCATGTTTGAGAGAACAGAGTATGAGCGGGGAAGGGGCAGAGACAGAGGGAGACACAGAATCCGAAGCAGGCTCCAGGCTCTGAGCGGTCAGCACAGAGCCCAACCGCAGGGCTCAAACCCACGAGCTGTGAGATCATGACCTGAGCCAAAGTCGGATGCTCAACCTACTGAGCAACCCAGGTGCCCCTGAAAATAGTATTTTTAAATGTAAATATTTCTCTTTAGGCCACCACTAAGCTGTCATCTCGAACTTCCCTCTGTTACCATCTTGGGAGTTCCTTTTGCTTTTCTCATGATTATATTCCCTGCTTCCCAGTCTCCTGTCTTCCTGCTTGCTATAGTCTCTTGTTTTGAGGATGTGACAGGGTGGCATAGATAATAGTCTCAGCAGCCTGCTTGGCCCCTGAGACACACTGTGGCAGTCTGGGTTGGTGGTACTCAGCTGGTGACACGTTGTCATCTTGTCATCTTGGGATCTCCCTTTCCCATCATTGTGGAGATTCCCTGTTTTTCTCCGGTCTCTTGGCTGGAGATTCTCTTGGCTTTCCAGTCTCCTTTATCTTTTTATTTTCCTTTAGTCTTCCCCTTGCTGAGTTTAATCTCTTCTTTTTGATATAGCACATCCTTCAGTAGATTCTGGAAAAAAGATGCATGGACGGTAAGTTTTTTGAGACCTTTAAAAATGCCTTTAGTCTATGCCCACATTTGATGAGAGTGTAGATAGGTTGAAAATTCCAGGTTTAGAATTCTGAAGGTGTTGCTTATTACCTTCTGGCTTCTAGTGCTAGCACATGGCAGGCCCTTCCAATCTGGAAAATCTTGTATTTCGGCCTTGGAAATTTTCTTGAATTATTTCATTGGCAATTTCCTCCCTCCGTTTTCTCTGTTTTCGCTTTCTGGAATTTTTGCTATTTGGCTTTTGGACCTGCTAGTTGAATTCTTGTTTGTCTCTTAGACAAATCCTCTTAATTTTCTATTTTCTTTGTTTTCTTGCTTTACTTTCTAAGGGCAAGAGTTCAACTCTATCTCCATTCCTTCTTCACTTTGCTATCACAATCTTAATTCCAGGAGGTCTTTTATTCACTGCATATTTCTTTGTGTAAGAGAGAAGAAGAAGCACATAATGTTCCATTCTTTTTTCATGTATGTAGCATCTTTTCTTAGCTCTCTGATATATTGCCTATAATTGGTTTCTTTTTCTAAAAGTGTTCTTTGTCTTTCCTCCAAGTTGCTTTTTCTTTGTTTGCATCTCTTTCTTCCAAAGTGGAGGCTTTCCTCAGATGTCTGGTATTCTTTAACTACTTATGATTAAGGGTTGGGGGATAAAAGGCTGTTTGAAAGCTGTGAATATGTAGGTTGGGCTTGATAGTCCTAAGCTTTACTGTAGGGTGAGTAAGCCATTTGTTGGGAAAGACCCACCTTTGCACTAGCCAAATAAACCAGAGTTGTCTTTCCTATATCCTTCCAAGAGGGCAAAGGACTGAGTGTCATCATTCTGGGACTGAGAGAAAAAAAGAGCTGGAAATGTCTACATTCAGCATTCAGAAAATAGTCACTGAATCCTCCTGTTTTAAGTGTTCACTGTGCCTGTCAACCCATTAATAGCCCCAGTTCCAGAGACTTTGGGTTTGGTTCTTAGCTCTCCTCAGGACAGTTTAAGAGTATTCTTTCCTACTTCTAGGAAGGAAGAGCTATTATGGCAGAAAAGCTGAGAAGAAGAATCAAATCTTATTTTTGACATTTCTCAAGTCTAAACCCCCAGGACCCAGTTTATGTCATTATGCAGCAAAAACTAAAACTTGGAAATAGGACAAAAATGATGACTGTGTGACCGTTCTAGAAAGTCTGTGAAGGGTTATCTGACTCACTCAGGGAATGTCCCTTTGGTTGTGGACCAGACATTGTACAACCCTGGTAAGTTAAAGATTCACTTGTAGAAAAATGATAAGGTGTGATGATATATTTAAGGGCTGGGGAGGAGGCTGGAAAATAAAGAAGATAAACCTAACTCTTATGTGTAGGGCATTAGCTTTTTTAGTATCTTTTTAATAATCTTATTTCAGTATTCCATTTCTCACTAACTATATAATCTGTTTCTCAAAATTTCAAGCTTTTTGTCTTGCTGCCAGTTCCTTCATTAATGAGCTAAGAAAACCTTGGTTTGAATTAGCCCTCTATATGTAAGGGAAATAGGATTTTATTTTTTAAAGAATTCGAGAATGGTGCTTATACACCAAGAATGAAATATCCGTAAGACTAATGCTCAGTGATAATAAGTTGTCTTTCCTGAACTTTCTCCCCAGATTAAATGAAGGGTCCCCAGGCTGGGAGAAAGAAGAATCAGGGAAGCCAAAGAGCTTAGAAACTGGAAGGTGCTAAGAAGAGGTCTGAGCTACAGAATGTAAGTAATTTACTTTTTATACAGTGGATCATTTTGTACTTCTGTTGTGTATTATACTCAGTAATATAGCGTAAACATCTTCATAGGCCAACAAATGGCCTATATATGATATATATGGCCTAGAATATGATTCTTCATTGCTACATAGCATTCCACCCCATGAGATATTTTAATGGTTTAGAAAAACTCTGAACATTTCTCTTTCCAACTGGTAGGCAAACTCCATTGTAGTTATTTTAGTTATTAAGTCCTGAGTTAAAAGACCATCTCTTGGAAAAAAAAACCTAGACTGGGTAGAATCCAACAAACAGTTTTAGTCAAGGATCTAGTGACCATAGTTGTCAAAGCCAAGTTAGCTTCTCTTGTAGAAAACTCTTTAATGAAGCTGGTCATGTTTAATTCTGGATGGCCATACTAGGGGAACAGTTACTTGACACCATACAAGGAGAGCTCTAGGAATGGAAGACAGTGGATTCAGGGAGCCTCCCCAATGCATGTCTTAAGTAATTGCAAAACCTAGCTTTCTGCCCACCCCTAGCCCTGTTTTCCTGCACAGCCGGTGATCGGGAGGCAGGGATGTGCCTGCTGATGACAGGCTGGTGCTGGGCTTCTCTCAGCCTATAAACAGAAAGTAATAAATGGGCCTGCTCGAAAAGGCATGGGGAAGACTGCCGTGGACTTCCACAGCTGATGGAAGGATTCCTAATGTGGACAGAGATACTAGCGTCTAAAGGGCCCCGATCCCATGATAGAGTCTGCGATGGCCTCGGTATCCCCTGAAGTACACTTGTTAGTAGAAGTCTCAGAGTTGATCAGTTACCTTTTCCTGAGATGCTAGTTTGAATCATTCCCTGTTTGGGGTGAGGGGGTTGGGGGCTTACTTTTACCATAAATCAAAACGCTTCCAATTGAGATCTATGTGGGATTGGGGATTTTGTTGTTAGTGTGTGTGCACGTGCCTGTAGCTTTGAAAAACACGGTGTGTTTGGATCAAACAGCAGCATTTGGATAACTATGGTTTGGTTAAAACAGATTTCTATTTGCTCTTGCTATTATGTACATTTTATTCTGAAAATCACAGACACTTAGAATCTATTCAACAGGGTCACAAGATAGTTTTTAAAAGCTCATTCCAGTGATAGAAACAAAATAAAATTCCTAGTTTCTTTAAGAGAAAAGAAATGGGGCGCCTGGGTGGCGCAGTCGGTTAAGCGTCCGACTTCAGCCAGGTCACGATCTCGCGGTCCGTGAGTTCGAGCCCCGCGTCGGGCTCTGGGCTGATGGCTCAGAGCCTGGAGCCTGTTTCCGATTCTGTGTCTCCCTCTCTCTCTGCCCCTCGCCCGTTCATGCTCTGTCTCTCTCTGTCCCAAAAATAAATAAACGTTGAAAAAAAAAAAGAGAAAAGAAAATGTCACTTTCTTCCCTCAAGTGTTGAGAGAAAAAAATAATATTTGCATTATAAATCCTGATACTAAATTATAGGCAAAAATGTGACCCATGGAAGTTATTTTATTGTTCTGTAGTGTTGTGTTATATTCAGGGTATATTATCTTCGTTAGTTGGAAAAGCAAAGTTAGATTCATATGCAGACTTTCTTGGTAATTCATTTAATTTCCTGTTTTCTGTTTTTTTTGGTGACTTCTGTAGAAGGACTATTTAAAAAGCTTCCCTTTGAGAATGGCCCAAGGAGCAAAGGAAACTTCTATTTTAATGCTTTATGAGTTGGAGAGAGGAATGCATCTCACAAAGCCTAAGCACTATTCCAAACAGTGACAAGACAAAGTTGAGCTGAGTGAGAGAACAAACTAGGGGCAAAGTCGTGGGTTGGGGAATGGAGGTTAGTGTTCATCTGCTTCATAAAAGAGAGTGATGATCTGTTTTCCACCTGTGAAATGGTAGAATGAGTGATTGAAGTCCAGTTGTCTTAACATCAGAAAAATAACATTGATTTCAGAAACTAATACATAATAATATATGTATATATGTATATGTATGTAACTTGTACACACCAAAAATAAGAATGATCATACCATTAATGGTTCTCAAAATTAAGATTGCTTTTTCCCCTGCTTGAAAAAGAAAACCTTAGCCAACTGAAGGAATAGACTTCAACACTCTGACCCTACTGTCCAGCCCCCTTACCTTCCCCACACAGATCCTATAGACTAGAACAGTTGGCATTGGTCACAAAGGCAGTTGACATGAATAAAACAGCTTTATCCTGGATTCCAAGATACCTGTGCAATGCTTTCCCTGAAGACTCTGGGCTTTCCCAGCTATAGAAACCACCCCCTTTCCCTTACTTTTCTCCAGGAGGACAGAGGAATCCACAGACTGTCAAGAACATCAGGTCTCCACCCACAAAGCAGAAAGCCTTGGAGAGGTGACACTTCCAAGATCATATTGTTTAATGTGTTTGCTATACCTTGTGAGAGACAATGGTCTTAAATGTTTTTGAAGTACAAAAGCTGTTCATTCCAAGGGGACTATCATTTTGCTAAGAATAGGACAAAGAGGTCTATTCACCCTCATCCTTAACCTCCTCCCTGTCCCTAAAAAAGAACTGGATTAAAGGGCACATGTCAGAAAATCTGATCTGGAGAACATGTGATGAAGTTTTATCCTTCATGAAAAGAAAATGTTCTGTTTTTCCCATTATAAATGCCTTGGTTCCTGCCAAGCCTCTTTTTATCCCAAATGTCAGAATATCCTGGTATAACACAGCAGAGATAGGGCAGCACAAACACTGAGTTATAATTTAATTCAATGTATACTCATTGAGAACTGTTATACTAAGAATACCTTCCTCACATCTCTTCCCCTGTCACCAGTAAAATAGTTTTTGATACTAAGAATTTCATTTTTAAAGAAAATTCTCCAACTAAATAAGACCGTGATGTTTCCATCTGGACTTTGCCATGGGCACCCTGGGCTGGAAGTATAAAGTACAGTCTTTCTCATGTTCTGGGAAATTCTCGTGGCCCAGTACAGGTAGCACCACTTTGAGCATCTGGCCAGTATTAGGGACTATACAGAGGGGCCAGCATGGCCATTTGCTTCCCAAGGCCAGGTGGTCATGAGAGACCTAGCGGGCAGGGACTATCAGTGCCTACCATGAAATAGGCGGTCAGTAAATGTTGAGATCTGAAATCTCAAGATCGGAATGATCAATATGCACTTTATTGGCTATAAAAATAGACTCATCTCTTCTTGTACTGGCTTAGAGAAGTGTGGGTATTCATGTAGTAGAGGAGGTTGTTTAAGGCAAGCAAAGCTCTGTTCTTTTTCAAACATGCCTGTTTCAAACATACTGTTCTTTTTTTTTTTTTTTAATGGCTTCTATTTCTTCTTGCATTGCCTTAATCATTTGAACAGAAGGGCTCCTCTTTGAGGCTCTTTAAGATGGAACAGAATGCTACCTTTAGGTTCCCTGCTTTGCACAGACCCCCAGCCTTGTCTCCTACCCCTAAATCTATGTCTTTGTCCAAAACACCCTTGGGCTCCCTCCACACCAGCTCACATGCATGGCACTGGTTTTTCTTTGTTTCTGGCACTCAAGAAGGGAATTATATATATTGTGGGAGGGGTCATATCTACAGCAGCTCAGATTCTCCTTATTGCAGGAAGTTCCTCCCATCTCCTTTACATCATGGAAAAAGTATTCTTTTAAGTTTAGAGATCTTGTCAGAATAATGTATGACCTTTAAGAAATGAATGCAACAAAATTAATACAGCTTAAAGTCTAACAGAATGAGTTTATATAGATCATGTAAACTCTGTTTCTTCATTCTCAAATATAAAAGCTGTTGCTTCCCTCTCCCACCACCACCCATTGGATATCATTATTTATGGGGAGAATTCTATTTCTTAGAATCATTATATTTTTGTCAGTAGAAGGGGAACTCAGATACCTTCAGTGCCAGGGAGATACCACAGATAAGTGACTCTGACCAGGTGTAAGCCACCAGGGAGGGATGCAGGCTGGAGTAAAATGAAGACCTCTCTCTCACACAAAGGAAAAAAAAGAAGAAGAGAGACTCACTTACATGTTGCTGTCATTAAAAGAAATGTCGCAAATTTTCTTGTCCCCAGCTTTCTTTTAACAACAAATTCTGAATAGCATCAGAATATATAGATAAGTTGGTCAGAGCCTGAATAGACATGCAGGCCTGGGCCTGATTTATGAGAAGGTTTGAGGACTGTTGTACAAGGGTGCAGCTCAGGGTTTCCCCGCCTTAACCTAAGCAACCACAGAAAGCCTTGTGAATCACTTAGCAAGTCAGAATCTTGCACCTGTTTCACTCAGAGAGGACTCCAGAAGCCCTGACACCATCACTTCCCTGTCACAAGGGGCTGGGGACCAGATTTTCGCCTATGAAGCATCCTGAGAAATTCTTTTCACCCAGTAAACAAAGCCTGACTGAAACCCCTTCTGATATATAGACCCTGGCCGAGTAGTCTGTGTGACCTCGTGCAGGGCCAAGAATTGCTTTTGGTCACTCGGTGGCATTACATATGTCTTAAAGGGGTTTGATTATGCAAGAAAGGTGTGGTGTGGTGTGGTGTGGTGTGGTGTGGTGTGGTGTGGTGGCAAGGACAGGCTTTTGGAACAAGATCGACCCACTTCTGAATGCCAGTGTTGATGAACAGTGCATCACTGTCCAGTCAACAACGCTTTCTGAATGTCCACTAAGTGGTGGGCACTGTTCTAGACCCCAAGGAGACAATGGTGAACAAAGCAGAAAAGTCCTTGCTTTGGGGAAGTTTACATTTAGCTGGGGGGAGACTGGTAATAAATAAAAAATTAATTAAATGACATAGTAGGTTAGAAGGTGATGGGTGCTGAGGATAAAATCAAGTAGGGACCGTGAATGGAGAGTGCAATTTAGTGTGTTCAGGGAAGCTTCACTGAGCAGATGACCGTTGGGCAAAGACTTGAAGGGGGTGAAGGAGAGAGCTGTCAAAATGTGTGGGGAGTAGGGTTCCACGGGAAGGTCCTGAGGTCGCTTCAGGTAACAACAGGGAGGCCAGCACGTCTGGATGGAATGGGGTGGGTGGGAGTGGTAGGAAATAAGTGGCTAAAGGCGATGAGGGGTGATCAGGCCATTGCAAGTACTTACCATGAGCGAACTGGGGAGGTGCTGTGGGGTATATTTGGAAGGATTTCCTGATGGATTGAATGAAGTCTCAGAGAAGAATAATAGTCAAGAGGGAGCCCAAGGTTTTTGGCTTGAGCAACTGGAAGAGTGGAGGTCGCATCAACTGAGACAGGAAGGATGTAGGAGGAACTGATGGCAGGGAAGGGCAGAATCAGAAGTTCACTTTTGGAATTGTTCGGCGAAGATGATGACTAAACTGTGGCATAGGAGTCTGAAGCACACAAGAGAGACCTAAACTGAGGATATAAATGTAGGATCATGTAAATGGTATTTAAAATTGTGGGAATCACTGATAACACTGACGACTGATGGTAGACAGGGACGAGAAGAGGTTCTAGGACTGAGCCCTGGGACACATCGACACAGTAGCCCAGCTACTGTGGAGGATCTGGGTGGCTGTAGGGGTGATAGGGTTAGGACCGAGGCACTCATTTTTCCCAGCTGCTAGCAGTTAACAATCTACCCCCCACCTCCAGGAATTGCCCTCTGCTGAAGGAGGCTACCACACCCCAGGTTATACCCTCATCCCAGGGATGGCCTGGGTCCAATTACTGGTCAACTTAGGGGTTTAAAGCCCACCTAATATCTCATTTCAGAACTCTGAGGGGCCCTCCCAGCTCCAGAGCATTTGTGGTATCAATCAAAGCCATCGTTGTACCTGCTTCGCTGTTCAGCTTCTCCCTCGGCCTAACCCCACTGCCTTCAAGTCCTCGCAGGTGGTGTTTCCAGGAGCACCCCTGTATATAGATGTCTACCTCGGTTGATTTCTTAGGGGATCTGTTCTGAAACAGTAGCTTTGGGCACAGTGCTTGCTTTTACAGTTTCCACATTTGTAACATGGCAATAATTATACCTACCTGGCAAGATTGTTGTAGGGAGAAGAGACTTTGTGTGTACAGTGCCTAGAACAATGCTTGATTAGTGGCAGGCACTCAAAACTTAAGTCTTGTCAGAAGCAGATTTCACTATTCCACTTTCTCAAACTCTCAAGAAGATTAGGAAAGGTAGCATTACAGTGCTCAGGAGGTCTGTCTGTCCTTCCCCTGAACTCCCCAGACTACATTCAGATGCTTCTTTTGCGTGCTCTGGCAGCACCCTCCACTTCTCACATCATAATTATAGATGGCACTATTCTAGACTACAATTGCATATTTAATTTTTTCCCACCCCTCTTTCCCATAAGGTCTATATCTGTCTTGTTCATGATTGTGTATCTCCAGGGACTAGCACATTGTAGGCATTTCATAAGTATTTATTGAATTGAATTGAATCGAATCGAATTGACACGTGGCAGAGTTTCCAGAATAAGGCAAGACTCAGTTTGGCTCAGCTCTGGGAATTAGACTCAAGTAACCTTTATGAAGCCCAAAAAAGACTATCCATCTACCAATCTATCCATCTATCCATCTATCCATTTACTCAAGATTTAGAGAGCACCAATTTGTGCTAGGCACCAGAAACAGGTATCAAACAAGATCTTACAGGCAAACAGGGGATAGACAGTGGACAATAAACAACCATAAAATCTGCTGTTAAAAAATAAAGGGGGAGAGAGAAAGGCAGCAGGGACTCAGTTAGAGTGATTGGAGACTTCTGAGAAGGGGAAATTTAAGATGACCTGAAAAAATGTGTAGACGCTAGATATGGGAAAGGTAGGAATATTTCAGGCTAAGAAAGATCCTGACAAGGGGAGAGAAAACCAGTGTGAAGGAAGAAGAGGGAGGGAGGCAGAGGCTGAGTTAGTGGGAGGGGTGGGCTTGGGGAGGGCAGTCCGTGCAGAGCCTTTCTCACAGTGTAGTACACACTTTGAGACAATGAGAGAATTATTCTTGGTACTGTTGAAGAGAATGGATTATAGGAGAGCAAATGTGTGGGTAGGAGGGACTAGATCAAGTAAATCTCTTCCTGATACACTTTGAAAGGAACCATGATAGGACTACCTGACCGTGGAGGTGAGGGAAGGGAAAGACTCAAGGATGGCTTTTAGGTTTGGGGCTTGATTCTCTGAGTAGATGGTTATAGGAATAAGAGAGACTGAGGGAAGTAGGCAGGATTTTAGAGAGAACCAAGAGTTCCCTTTAGGAAATGTGCAATTCCCTTTTGGAAACTCGAGAGCCTGCCTCAGGACAGCCGGCTGCACTCCTTGCCCAGACTCTTCAGAGATCGCCTGAAGTTCTTGGGGCCCCCGGGAAGCCTGGGGAAAAGAAGGCCCGCAGTGCTGGGGGTGAGTAACCACAGAGAGAACAAAGCATAAAGCAGTGCTTGTCTCCTGCAAAGATCAACACTCGATGTTCTTGGAAACTGAAGTGCAGGAGTTCAAATGTCTGCAGCCCCATTACCAGAAGGAGAGGTGTTCCCCAATCAGGAAAACTCACATCGAGCTCTCGGCACACTGCCCACGAATCCCTGAAGAAGGGTCCCCTCGTCTCACACGCCACAGGAATGGAAACCAGATCTGAAAGAGAGCACAGGCCTGCCAGTTGGGTGTCGTTCAGACATCTGCAGGCAATCAGGGGCCTCCTCATGCGTCTGGTCCTGCTCACTACTGGCTTTGTGCTAAGAAAAGCACATTTCTTCTGTGACCACCGGTCTGTCTAATCCACAAAGTGTGCTCTGGGACTCATTGGGCTTCTGGGGGTCGAGGATGGGCGAGGAGGGTGGCCAGGAGCCTCATCCCTTAGCTTGAGCACAGGGGATATGACAGCATCGAAGCCAACCACCAGTTCTTTTCAAGCAAGTGTCGGGAGTAACTCAAGTCCTAATGCCAGTTGGCTGTGAGCACCACAGAAATCCTGTCACTGGTCAGCCTGGGTCACAGAGCCCCTGTTCCTCAACTTTGAGGCCTCTCTTTTAATTGCTGTGATTTGGCCAGTTCTCAGCACAGCCCAGTAGTGCACTCTTGATCCATCAGGGAAATAGGAAATTTTCTCTTTAGTTACACTTTTCTGTGCCAATGAGATTATTTTAAGGTGCTACCCCCCACCCCCACCGCCATTTCCCCTCTGTGTTAAGGCTGTGCTCATTAGCCATGAGAGACTGAATATGCAAACGGACAGTGGCCAGACCATACCTAAAAAGAGAACCCTACTCACAACTTTCAGCAACCTGCCTAGGAAACCAATTCCCTTATGTATAGTAAACAGCCTGGAAGCCAGTCTGCTGTACATGAGGCTTGTGAGAAGCCAGGTTGCCATCTCTTGTGACAATCCAGAAAGCCAATCGATAACTTCTTTAACAGTCAGCCACAGATGGCCAGAGCTTGGTTAATAACTTCCAGATTCCCTAATCCTTGTCCCTGCTTTCAATTTAGGACTAGAGAGAGTCAAATATGCACCTTTAACCAATCATACAGGATGCCCCACTCCTAGTTAGCCAGCCTCCAGCTTCCCCATGCCACCGGCCTCCAAGCAGGTGCACCAGAAGCCTTCCCTTTCCTCCACTCTAAAGCTTTCCCATGCCTCTGCCTGCCTTTGAGTCCCTACTAAAACGTATGTGACAGCGGCTGACTCCGCTGCTTTAGTAATCTCTGATAATAGGCTTTGCTTTCTTCATTTGCTTGATCTTGATTTCTGCAGCCATTTATGCATTTTTTTCCTTTATGAGTTTCTGAAAAAATAATTTAATAGTACATTTGGGCAACCATATTGAGTCCTAAGGTACAATTAATCTGCTGTAACAGACCCCAAATACTATGGCCTAATTAAGACAGAAGTTCATTTCTCTCCCACGTACCTGTCTGCAGCAGCGGGTGGTCGAGGCCTGGATAGTTAACTGTGTTCCTTGAAGCCACTCAGGGACCCAGATTCCTTTCTCCTTGTTGCTCTACTGTTCCTTGGTATGTGCAGAAAACAAACTGACTCAGTCCCACGCTGTCTGTGCTCTGGCTGTAGAAAGGAAGAAAAGCTTCCCTTTCAAGGATGTGGTCTGGAAGTTACACACTTCACTTTATCTTATAGTTGGTGAGAACTCAGCCTCATAGCCACACCTGGCTGTCAGGGAAGCTGGGAAAAGTAGTCTCTGCAGGTCTAACACCTGTGGAATGGGAGAAAGTAGATGTCAGAGGACAAATTGAAGCCTTGCCCACATCATGCTGGGTAAAAAGGGATACAGAGTACACATGGCTTTTGTCCTCAAAGATTAACCAGTAATGGTTCATGTGTAGGGTAAAGACTAGATCTTCTAGCCAGGCATTTAAGAGCTACCACACTCTGGTTCTTTCCTCTTTCTCCAAAAAATTCCCTTCTCCCTTCCCTCCCATGTGTTCCTGCCAATGGAGTCATGCCACACGCTGCCATAATAACTACTTTTAATTCAAATTAATTCCTTTGAACATTTATTCTATCCAATTGTTCAAGAATTTTTAAACCACACCCCTGATTGCTGGTGATTGAGGGGGAGGGTGGCATAGCCCCCCACTGTTGGCAGAGAATTTCCCTACCCCACCCCCCAATTGTGCATACCAGACTCTGTTGTCGTTAACTCTGTCTGCTCTGGTGCCCAACCATGAATTCAGTCAGGGAGAACGTCCATCTCTCCATCATCATATTCCCAGCACCTGGCTAGGCCCTGGTGCACAGAGTTTGTGTTGGACAAGCAGACTGGGTCATAGCCCTTACTTCTTAGGTCTTATCATCTGAGGAAAGCAACCCCCCCTCCCCCCCAGAATGAAGACTACCCTTCCCTGGCCCTACCATTTACCTGGCAGCAACTCATGAGAATCCAGACAGGCACACTGGGGAAATAACAGAGTTTTAAGCTCATATCATCATTGTGATGGTTAATTTGATGTGGCAGTATGTCTGGGCAAAGGGAGGCCCAGAGAGCTGGTGTATCTGTAAGGGTATTTCTGGAGGAGATTAGCTTTTAAATTGGTAGACAGAGTAAAGAAGATAGCCCTCACCAACATAAGTGGGCATCATCTAATTCATTGAGGGCTTTAATAGAAGAAAAAACAGATAAAGACAAAGTTGCTCTCTCTGCTTGAACTAAGACATCCATCTCCTCCTGCCCTTGGACACTGATGCTCCTCGTTCTCAAGCGTTTGGACTCATACTGAATTATACCCCTGGCTTTCTTGGTTCTCCAGCTTGAAGACAGTAGATCATGAGACTTCTTAGAGTCCATAATTGCATGAGCAAATTCCTATAATAAATCTCATCTCTGTCTCTATCTGTATATCTATATCTATATCTATATCTATCTAATCTGTTGGTTCTATTTCTCTGGAGAACCCTGACTAATACAAACATAATCTTGGAGAAGCTGCTGGGGTGCCCATTCACACATTAAAGAACTTGGAATATTTCTCCCCTGTGTAAAGAGGGCAGTTTTCAGGCCCATGTGGTCTGGCCACTGGCATGTGACTTTCATCTACTAGTCTGTTCCCTGGAACAGCATGTTCTATGGCTCGTTTTGATCTGGCGCAGTCAGATCCCCTCCCCACAGACCCTGGCCATGAACTAGCAGCCGTTCTAAGGACACAATGGGCTCTGCTTTCACCCCACCAACACAATGCCCAGCCAAGTCCTCTTAGACCTGCAATGTCCTCAGCAGTTTGAAATCTCCTCAAACCAGTGGAAGGTTTATTAGGTATATATTTACAGAAGAAGCTGAGTTAGCAGCTTTATGTGGCAGAAAGGTTAATAGGGAGGCTTTCTGGTGGTAGCATTCTGCCTCTTCTCTGTTGGTCTAAGCACTTCAGCTCTGACCCCAACTTGCATGCTCTTCTCAGGTAAACAAAAGCCGTGTATGACTTACTTGAACAAGCCCCATAGTTTCAATATGAAGCAGCTCATCGAATGAGTCCTTCCAACTCTCTCCCTGTAAAGATTTCTGGTAAATACAATTTTTTCCATCCTGTCCCATTTACAGGAATGTCCTGGCATTCCTTATGAATTGCTGCCATGCCCCTAACCTAAATCTCATCTCAAACAGCTCCGCCTCTACCACGCAGCTACCCGGCTCCTTTATGTCTCCCGTTCCCAGCCCAGCCCCAAGCGAGACTGTGGTCGTCTGCCTCTCGGTTGCTGCCTTAGGATATTGATGGGAAACAGCATCGAGTGACTGTGTTTCATGCCTCTTGGCCTCCAAAGAAGCAAATTAGGGTTTTAAATAAGATGAACCAGGCTTGAGTGGGAGTGGGAAGACCGCCAATTACCATCTCTTAATTCAAGGTTGCTAGCAAAAAGGCTTGAACTATTTCTACTTTTAAACAAAGTGAAAATTTGATGTTAATTCTGACCTAAAAATGTGGGTCTTGGAGGGGAGAGAGAGAAAGAAAGGAGATGCTTTCCTCCTCTGATTTCAACTGGGAGTTGTGTTAAATCCAGTCCTCCAAGGTGCTGGGGTGGGAGGGCTTTTTCTGATTTGCAAAAGACTCCAAGCCACCGTGGGCCCACCAAACCCAGGTGCACTCTGTTGCTTTCTTTTTCTTTTTTTTTTTTTTAAACACTTTCTTTTTTTTTTTTTTTTTAATTTTTTTTTTTTCAACGTGTATTTATTTTTGGGACAGAGAGAGACAGAGCATGAACGGGCGAGGGGCAGAGAGAGAGGGAGACACAGAATCGGAAACAGGCTCCAGGCTCTGAGCCATCAGCCCAGAGCCTGACGCGGGGCTCGAACTCACGGACCGTGAGATCGTGACCTGGCTGAAGTCGGACGCTTAACCGACTGTGCCACCCAGACGCCCCAAACTCTGTTGCTTTCTGTAGCCACCAAAGCTACAGACTTTCCTGCTCCAACTTCCAGCAGCTTTCCCCAGTTTTACCCACCAAGACTCAAAAATTGCGGACAGAAGTTATTTTCCGGTTTCTTTACATTGAACTGATTACATTGTTCACGTTACAACACCTGCAAATACCTGAGAGAGTCCCAGTCTATTCCAATTTTCTCATCATTAGCATTTTTAGCTTCCCACATCTGCTAATAAGAACAGAGCTGTGGGTTGAGGTAATCCCTTCCGAAACTAAATTATTTTGTGTATGCAGTAACCATTCTGGGATTATGGCTACACTCCACTGACATAACAGACGCATAAAGATGATGAATAGAAGTTGCAGGCTTTGCAACCACAGAAGATAATTCTGGCTTATCCTTGTCTCCAAGCAAGCTGTACATTCTTTAATATCTGAATTTTAAAAGCGAGGACCAAGATGGTGGAGAATTTTTTAATGACTTAACGCATTTAGTATAAGTACCGCTCTATGAATCATTGTGCTGGTAGGAGCAGGAAGAAGGGGGAGGTGGATAAGAGAAAACAGTGGAGTAGGTGGCACAGAAAGAGGAACACGTGGGCTGTTCCAGACTGTTTCAGGCAAGCGCCTGAGATGGGGTGCCTCCCTCTCAAACCACCCTGAATTTTCATCACAGTGAGTGATGAAACACCCCTCACCACCACACCCTCACCTCCCCACAGAGATTGCAGACTTCCTTTGGGGTGGGGGGATCTTCTGTCTTCTTGCTTGCCAGGAGCTCACGAAATAATATACCTTTCAACCCAAGTCCTGCAGGGGTAGGCACCTAGCAGAGGGAAGGCGGGAGTAGTGACTCATCTGTGATGAAATTTTCACAAGTCTAGAGTGATATGAGAAAAACAAGGATAATTATATACATATATATAATTATAATATGTATGTGATGGTGTAAGATTACTAACTCATTTGGGGGGAAAGACTGTTCATTATACGGAGATTATGCTTTTAGCACTCATTTGGGGTCAAAAAGTCCTATTAAGAAAAATATATGACAGAAGATGCTAGGATTTTTGTGTTTGGTTTTGATTAATCTGTCATTTGGCAAAATTAAAAGCTGACTATCCTGTGTATGTCTCCCACCCTCCCACTTCTTTTTAAAATTTTACCAATTTGGAAATTATAGTTCTGGGAAACCACTGGCCCGGAGCTCCACGGCCAGCCTTGAGCCCCACCATGGGTACCAGCACCCAAATGCCCTCCCAGCTTGCTTGAAAGGCATGATTCCCACTGCCTTCAAGGTCAGTGCATTGAGTTCAAAGCCAGGAGTCGGGGAATGTGGGATGTTGCCTAGTGCCCCTTACTGTCTTTGCTTTGTTCACTCCATGTGAATGAACCTTTTCTTTTGGGTCCTCTCCAACTCCTCAGGGTCTCCTCCCAAGCTCCCAAGACAGCATTAAAAAGTCAGAGAGGGGTGCCTGGGCAGCTCAGTCGGTTGAGTGTCCGACTTCAGCTCAGGTCATGATCTCATGGTTCCTGGGTTTGAGCCCCACGTCAGGCTCTGTGCTGACGGCTCAGAGCCTGGAGCCTGCTTCAGATTCTGTCTCTGGCTCTCTCTGCCCCTCCCCCACTTGTGCTCTGTCTGTCTCTAAAATAAATAAAGCTTAAAAAAAATTTTAAAGATAGATTTTCCTTTCTTTCACTCCCACACACCTGTGTTGCTCCAGCAGGCAGACCCGTGAACCTTGCATAAGGGGATGGGGGTGTTTGTGGATAATTATTAATAAATGACAACAGGCACCTCTCAGGAATCCCTCAGGATATGGAGAGGTGACACAGCCTAGTGTTGCTGTTTATATGAGTGAAGGTGTACTTCCCACACCAAAACTTGTGACGTGTTTACAGACAAATAAATCCAACTCAAGTGGCACATCTGTTGTCAGAGCTTTCCACAGCTGTGCTATGATAGGGGCGCAGTCCTCTCCTGCTTCTGTGCCACCCCCAGGAGAAGCTGAGTGTCTTGAGGCTCGGTGGCAGCATTTGTGAATGGATGTCATTCCATTGGTGGGGGAGGGAACAGCACAGAGGGGACAGAGCCTAGCAGAGAATGAGTGACTTATGCAATGGGGATTTGGGTCTGATTTCTGGTTCTGTCACTTCCTGGCTTAGGGTCTAGGGGCTCCTTGATTC